TCAAATGCTGAAAGGCTTCTGGCCTGTTGTTGAAGAGCTCTCTGACCACTGTTGTTGAAGAGTTGTGAAGCTTGTGAAGTTGTGTTACAAGGCGTCGCATGCTGTCTTGTGGACTGCCTTGAGCGAGGTGCACGTGGAGTGTGAGTGGTGTTGGTAGAGTCAAAGTGCGGAGCAGATGCACAACAGGCGTGTTTGAGAACTCTGCGTGCAGAACTCAAAACAGATCATATGCTATTGGATCTGAACGAGCCTTTGACGTGGTGGTGTGGAAGAACAATGCTCTCGGCCAGCAATTCCCACACCACAGGATTGTTGTACACAGCATCAAGTTTTCTGTGTACCTGCATCTTTTTTGCTTTCTCCAGAGGCGCTTTAGGCATCGTAGCCATGCTGTTCTTTTGTGGCAGCAATGGGTCTGGTTTGTGCCTAGGCGTGCAGCTGGTCTTCCCCCCGCAGTACAAGCTACGTGCCTGCTGCATCTGCAGCCTGATGCCCGGCTTCCTGAAGGGCCTTGGCAAAGCGCAGTGATAGGTGGAAGCCTGTGCTGCTCCTATTGCTTGCGTTGCTGAGGTCTGAAGATCTTCCAGTTCCCGTGCAGGCGGCATTTGTGACTCCTGGAAAACTCTGTTTTGCATGGCAATCAATTTCAATCTTTGTGGCTGTTCGAGGCTTTTGTGAGGAGCTCTTCTGTGGTGTGCATGCTCAAGGCAGGCCGAGGGAAAGCCACTCCTAGTTCGGTTAATTCAAGACCTTGCCAAACGACAAGATCCGTGTTCACGAGCCCTTCGCAGCTGAGTCTTGGGAAAGTTGTTGGTCTAAATCAACCGTTTCTTGCACCTTGCAGGACTTGTCTGAGAAGAGAGCAGGTTGATGTATAGCCAAGCAGGATAAAGATGTTTTGTTGCGGTGTGGAGCACTCGGAAATGCCCACTCGTTGAAGTATTGGATCTTTTGGCAGAACATGAACGCTGTCTTGGAGAAGCTGCGCGGGGCCTCATCGTGGAACTGGCGAAATCTTGCTGACTTTCTGTGGGAATCATGTTTCCGCAGTACTGTATAATCCGTGGCATGCACCGACCACATCTTAGCATGCTCCCTTGCTGTCGAATTTTTTGTTTGGCTCTAGCCAGGCAAATGATTGGATTGTCGGTCTCCTTTCACAAGAACCTTGAATGGTCCTTGCTTCAACCTTAGTGTTCTTCTGGATGCATGCCCACCTGAGCGCTAGACAATTACCTCAACAACTTCTTCACTAGGATCTCCATGCCAAGGCCGCTGCCGGAAGACCTGCAAGTTGAAGTTGTGGACGGGTGACTCGTCTTCCGTGGTTGGCAACCATTAACGACCATGTGCGGGCTCTTAATTTTGCCTTCACATCTTCCACGGAGGGTTGCCATAGCCAGACTGAGTTGTTGCATGGGCGAGATGTTGGTTTGGTCAAGGAGTGCCTTTTTTTTCCAGCTGGTTACCAGTTTTCTGATGCAGACACTTCCAGTCTCAGTTTCGGAGAGCACCGTACCATATCGAATCCAATTTCATTCAAGCTTGGCCATTGCAGTATGCTGAGGCCAGCTATTACGAGCTGGTCACCACGTGTTGCTGCAAGAGTGCGAGGCCAAGAAATGCTTCAAGCTGTTAAGGCATAGCCAGTTCCGGGTGCTCCCAGAAGTACAGGCGACAAGAAGCCTATAGCTGCACGGAATACTTTGGTTAATTATGGTCAAGTGTAGACATACTTTGAACACAGATGCTGCTCTAGTCCCAGATACAGAGCCAGATCCTAAGCTCCTTCGGGTATATTTCATCACATTATGAAGCATATAGTGTCACCTGATTCAGCCACCTCGCAACCACTCCTTTGTGTATAAGAGCTGCTGACAAGCTGCAGATTGAAAGAGCTAAAGAGGCCACACATATTATCAGCGAATTCAAAACGATTGGAATTACCTGCACATGGACAGATTCCTGCCCCTGCCTGTGGAGCTCAGGGATCGTTGATAGCTGTTACACTGCTGCCCCTCAAGAACTGATCCACCAAGGACTCGCTCGACTCAAGGTCGCAGCTCAAGGCGTGGGTGCTCGGTTTACGGCACAGATGAATGGCTTCAATCTTGAGGTATGGAGTGTATCGGTGACTCTTTTAATTTTGAAGTCGGCTTGTTCACCACAACATGCAGATTTCTTTGCCTGGAGACTGTTATGATAGGAAGCCGGCCTGGGGTGTTTCTGGCGACTCTATAAGGATATACGGGGTTCATATTACCCCAATCACGGGGTATCAAATGGAAAAGGAAATGGAGAATGAAACGCGAATAATGTGTTTCAGTGTATAGGGCTTGGGGGTTTCCAGATTGGCAGGTGCTTCTCGAGTTGGCCGAGCCTGCTGTCAGGAGTTCGCCCGGATCTCATCCGAGCTTGGCTACAAGCTTCATTGCTCCGAGCAGGTTCGTAGTTAAGTACTTGATACCCAATTCGCATTCAATTGCCAGTTCAAGTCCTGGGTCTGAGAAAGTAGCTTTTCTACTGAGGTATCTGCACTGGTACTGTGCATGGCGTGTGATGGAGGCAGGCTGCACTGATTTCCTTGCCTAACAGGATCTGGCCTGATGGCACATTAGGTGTGTGGGTGACTTGTCATTGGACATGTGTCAGAACTGACGAAATGCAATTGTGTGGGTTGCTTGCATCTACGCACACCTTTGCAAACTGAGCGCGTTCACTGGGTCACAGCCACGTCGGATTGTTGGCCTCTGCTCGTTGAACTATGATAAGGTTCATCGTAGCTTGTTTTAAGCATGCATAGCTGGCATACTCATGTGTGTATATATATATACATATACTGCAAGCCCATGACTGAGGGCGTCAGCTTTTTCTTCTGTTTTGTCACGCTGCTTGCCACGGTTTAAGGTTGATTGTTGATGTTTCATTGCGAAGCGCTCGTTTCTCTTTCTTGACACGCATAGTTCTGTGTATCTGCAGATGTGTTCATGCCTGGTCTAGGGAGGCAGTTTCTTGTCGGGGGACGTAGTGTGGAAGTATCATGCCCAGAGCTACTGTGGGCAGGAGCCAGGGCTGTTCTTTGTCTCATCATCGCGACTGATTTACTACAACGCGTTGGGACCTGAGCATAACTCATGCGTAACTTCGCGAGTTCCCCGCATCCAACTTGACAATGGGTTGGGTCCTCGCTGAGGTCCTTCGTGATCTGTCCACTGAAGTTTCGAAATTACCGGAACCTGCACGAGGCCTTGCGCTGTTCCAATCTTGTACGCGCAGTCCTGGAATTTGCTACTTTGCGAAAGTGACTAAGTGAGATGCCTGAAAGCCTTAAGTCCAGAAGTCTGCATCCACATCTATTTTAACCCATGATGCAGAATGCCTGCAGTCATATTTGTGGTTGCAAAAGAAGTGCAGGTCTCTGCCTACCCCTCCTTTCAGCTCTACTTCGCTCTTGGCGCAGTACCATTGGCGGGGCATCAGGCGATGCACCTAGTCCAGAGTGTCAGTTTCAGACTTCCAGTTCAAGGTGCTCATGTAAGGCGTCGCGTACTTGCAGTGTTCGCCTGGATCAAGCTTTCCGGACGATGCTGCGGCTGCAGCCATTTTTGGTTCCTGTTGAGTCCTGGACGGTCAGCCCGGGCGTCTAGATCCCCTGTTTGGACTCTGAAGCTGCCCCTTTTCTTGGCAACCTTTATGGTGCAGAGGCCAAGCGCAAACAATCCTCAAAGCAAAATGTCTGCCAGGTAGATGTGGGCTTCGCCAACCGGGCAGCTGAGGCTCTTGGCCTAATCGTCAGTAACATCACAGCAGGGTACCCAGAGCTTTTGTTTGGCCCTTTGCTGTCCCTTCGTCAGTTGGGAGTTGAAAAGGGATCAGTTCAGGAGGCCTCTATTTGAGGTTTCTGCAGGCACTGACAGAAAAATTGCAGTCTTCAAAACTTAAGCACGCATGTATGCAGCTACTGAGTCAGAGGCTTAGTAACTTAGTAGTTTTGCTTTGACTCGAATATGTCCTCTTCTTCATGGCACATGTGGCGATTGTGGCTTTCAAGCTCAAGTCGGTTGCGTGCCTTTTAGACGAGCTTCCAAATGACGTGGGTCAGCGGGGTCAGCTGGCTCCTTTGCCTATGCTTGCCATGTGTGGTCTTGGGCACAGAGCAGATGCTGTTTTGGGTGGATGACCTCATTTCTCAGACCAAGGCTCCGTGTCTTTTTTGAAGCAACTTTCTCAGTTTTCTCCCGTCGACTTGAATTTGTGGCCTGTTTGGAGCGGCGGTCCCGTCTAGGTGGAGTCCAAGCTGTGGATGATGACAGGGGAGGATGCGTCATTGGGCACCCGCAAAGTCCGCTACGATGATCTCGACTACTGCATGGAAGCCTTTGGCACCTCGGGTGAATTGTTTTTCAAAGCTCCCAGTTTCTGCAGCAAGCAGCTGCCAAAACTCCTCAATTAGCAGCAATCATTCTCTTTTCCAGGCACTACGTCTGGCACCGTCTGCAAGCCGCAACTCGACGTCAAGCACTCTTTTTCTGTCTAGAGCTCACACTGAGTTTGTGCAGGCTTCATGAGTTGAGCTCAGGAGCTACTTGATCAACGGGTGGAACACAACAGACAATACCTCGCTCGCTGAAAGGACGACTCTTTCAGTAGCCTATGACCCTGCGGGGGAGGGGGATGGTCAGGACCTGAGGCTGAGCCTGAAGTGTCCATTTCCTTGCACTCACAGAGATGGTTATGGCTGTTATGGTTCTGAGGTGAGCATGTGGTGGGGCCAGTTGCAGACAAGACCAACCGGCAGATTTATTGGATTACCCCTACATGTGCCACGTCGAGCAGCCGACGTTTGGGAGTTTGGAAGGTGGCAACCCCAGTGGGTATTTGAAAGCTTCTGATCTGAGCTGAGCATACTGAGGTGAAGTACCTGCTAGACAACCAAATCATCCCGGATGGTTCTGACCCAAACCCGTTGACCTGTGCGAACGAGTCTTACGTCTATGCCGTGAACCGGTACGACGTCGACACCAAAAAGTATTCCCTCATCTACGCAGCAAGTCGCGCGGACTTTCCTGCACCGGAGAAGTGGACTGCATACAGTTGGAAACTGGCTTTCGATGCCACCAGAAAACGATTGTACTGGTGGTACTATGCAGGTGCCTGTGCGGTGGTCAGGACCTGTGATGCTCCTTTGTACTACATTGATGTAAGTGGTCTGACCAATGATGGTGACATGCCAACCCCTGTTTCCGTGGCCAATGTCACGGACGGTTACGGTCACGCGCCTCGTCTGCATACCTCTGTGTCTCACGGCAATAGCTTTGGCTGTTTCGGCAGGCAAGGCAAAGTCTTAGAAAAGTTTGCTGCCTTGGAAAGACGATGTCCCTTAAAAGGTTTAAGATTGTCTCTACGCTCTCCGCCCGCACTTTGGACACCTGCCAACGAAACCAGGTGAAAAAAGCAATGTGAACTTGGTACTTGGAACGAGCTACCCACCCCTCTTTGGAGCGCAAAAAAGTGGCATGCCTTCACAGCCACACGCGTTTTTCTGTTCCGAGCCCCCATGATCTCAGGCCTACTGGGATATGGCCCTCGATGACTCTGGAAATGTTTATATGGTTGATTGGTACAAGATCAGGAAATATGACGTCGCTTCGGGAAGCCTGTCAGTCCTGCACACGGAAGACTACCTGAACACAGGATGGCACTTTACCGGTGTGACTTACTGGTGCTGAGTAGGGGATAAGGGAATCTATTCCTTATCTAATCCCTTTATACTATATTCCCGTATTCCCTACTATAAGCGCAATATATGCCCGACTCTAAAGTAGTCTTCATTTTCTTTTGCATTATCCCTGTATACCCCACTCTATTCCTTTATTCGCTGCTAAGAACCAGTATGGCAACTCTACACCTTACACCCTGAATAGACGTTTTCATTTACTTTTTACCAGAACAGTAAGGTGAGCCACTGGACAGGCACCACAAAGATGATCATTACCAAGACAAGCTCGGTGACATCTCAGCTTTGGATTTTCGACACCAGCGATTCATCATGGGTGCAGTTCTACAGTGCAGTTCACTACGAGTTCTATAATTCAGGCCTGGGCCCAACATCCAGCGTTTGAAAATCAAACCTGCAGGAACATGTAGGTCCAGGACTGATCCTCATTCCTGCGAGGCCAGACGCTTTACAACCATGTGGTGGATGCCACCCATGGTCTCCTGCAACTTGATCTTGGCATTTTCCGGTCGTAGCCATTCTTAAGGCCTGTTCCATGTGGGCGTGAGCGTTGATCAGGGCTTCCCTTCAGCAAGTGTTGTTCTGGAAATGGCGATCAAGTCAACGGTCAGGAAGATGGAGCCTTGTGGCATGATAAAGTAAAGACCTAGGTATGTGGCGACCAGTGGTGGAAACTCAGGGGGCAGATCCATTATCGAGTTGCCCCTGGCTCCAACGGGGCAGACCATGCCATACAAGGCCTCTTTCCTCTCCAACCTCTGTGTGAGGAAAGAGTTGCTGGCTTAGTTGTACTGCAGGCTTGTGCTGCCGGGCGCTACAACCTTGACTGTCCCCTCTACGGCATCGGGGAGCGTCTGGTGGTGGGGCACATGTGCCTTCTCCTTCAATTTAGTGAAAGGCCTGCGAAGGTTGTTATATGCGCAGGGGAAGCCGGGGAAGCGCATATCTGCGTGCCCGCCTGCCCGCGTGCCGGCACAGTTCCACACATTGGCTTTAGAATGGTACGGCATCATGACTGTAAAACACTGTGACTCGTGCGCCGCAACCCTTTTACTAAGATGCACGGTGCCGGCAGCTCGAAGTCCTTAAGCTATAGAATGATTGCTTGAAAGCACGGTAGTCTAGACTGTGAAGTTTTAGCTTCAAGCTGCGCAACTTCGAAGTCCTCTAGCTTGAAACCTCAAGCGAGACATTTTTGCCGAGGTATGCCGCCTTCTCAGTTGCTGGCTCCGGCAAGTCCACGAACTTCGCAGCAGGATCCGCCGACCGCTTCCCCGCTTGGGGCACCTCCCAGCGCCTGCTCTGCAGCCATGGAAGATTTGGAAGGGGATAATGGAAAAGAAAATGGAAACTACTAGGGGTTTTATAGGGGTTATATAGGGGTTATATGGGGTTTATGTATGGATTGTATAGGGTTATAATGGGATAATGGAAAATAAAATGGAAACTACTATAATGGAGAATCAAATGGAAAAGAAAATGGAAAATGAAATGGAAACTACAATGGGATAATGGGTTATATTAAAGGTCGGGGTTGCGTATTCGGGTTTCTTGGGGTTCACAGAGCTTTCGTAAAGGCGTCTGTCAACGAGGAATGCGTAGAGGGCTTGCGATCAGGAGTTTGTTGATGTCAAGATGAGGGGAGTGCTCTTGGGAAGGTGTTGCAAGCATCCTCCTCTTGGAAACCTCAGTTCAAGCTTTGGACCCAAGCTCTGTCATCATTCCCAATGTAATAGGTCTTGTGTGGCAGTGTGTCAAACTTCTTTTCGAACAGGCTAGCCTTTGACTTCTGCCGTTGGGTGTTCAGTGCCATTGCCATGATTTTGGGGTGACTTGACTTGGTAGCTTGTTCATGAACTGGCAGTTCCCCTTGAATAAGGGGACCCCAATATAGACCCCAAAAGGTACCCCTAATTTTGGGAGACCCCCAATTGTTTTGAATAGTGTCAGGTCAGGCTTCCCATTCGCTGCAGTTTTCATTTTTGTCTGGTGTACCTTGCGATGGAATGGATGCCAGCAGCAACGCTATACCACGTTTCTGCTTAGGAAGGCACTTTGTACCACCTTCTTGGCAACTGCTGAGATAATACGTCAGAGAGAGGGCTGCTTGGGCATTTGCGACACGCTCCACAGTGGTCAGCGGTCTCTGTCAGATGCCAGAGACTCCTTCTTCTCCGTGCTCTCTTTCTTGTCTTTCTTCCCGAAGCTACCCGAGGGTTGACCGCATAGGAATCCTGAAGCTGGCCTGAGCTTCGGAAGGATCGCGGTACTTCCGGCATCCGGCACCTATCCCACCAGGACAGCCTTATTTGGGCCTTCTTTTTGGCAGATTCAGGCATGAAAAGACGAGATGTGTGCACGTGCTGTGAAAGCTGAGATTGCAGGAATCCATGTGCTGGCAAAGCACCAGCAAGCATCGACACGTTATCGGCGCGTCTGAAAGCCACGACTCGTTCAACCTGCGGCAAGGAGCACCTTCCGCTACACCAAGCAAGTCTTCTAGGGTGCAAGCAATTTCAAACTGCTTGCGTAACATGAGTGGGGCATGGATCCACGATGCACGTGCCGCTGATCAGGATGCGACAGCTGGCTTCGACACCAGGCGCACAGCTTAGGATTTCGTGGGACGCCCTTTCTTCTTCCCAGAATTCCATCTCTGTGCAGGCATGCATTAGGTTTTGCTTTTTCGGTCTTGAACCTGTGTGGCGCGAGGCATATCATCTACAGCATTGATGCTGGAGACAAAGCCCCAAACTACCTTCTCCGCGACTTCATCTCTTTGGAGGGCCTCGCAACATCTGCAGATGGCGGTTGGGGCTACGACTACATAGGTGTTTGGTCTGCACGACAGCATGCAAGCATTGATTTATTGGTCTCAGCCGCAATGTAAGTTTGTTTACACAAAACCTGCCTGTCGCTGCAAGTCCCCATGTTCAAACGTGGCTTTGCTTCGCGAGGCCAGCGCCGCGCTTATGATCGGTGGCAGGAAATCGCAACTGGTGGTGGCAATGATGGCGTCATCCCAGGAATCAAGAGCCCGTGGGGATATGGTATTGCCGTCAAGGGCCCTGCAGTGGATTTGGTCAACGGTTACCCAGAAGCACAGCTGCAACATTTTCTCATACTTTTGGCGGGAAGTATTTCTTAACTCGAAATGGGCCTCTACGTTTGCTTCTATGATGGCAGGCTACGTCTACTGGATGTCCTGCGAGCGCGCGGCCTTGCCCCTTGTATGCTCGGAGCATGCTCTCAAGAGAGTGCCTCGGCCACAGCGGGGATCAGCTTCAGCAGACTTTTCAGTCTGTTCCTGCTCCACGGTTTGAAGCTCATAGACATTTCCAGCTTACAAGCCCTGAGTCTCAGGTTCTACAATTGGTAAGTTCACAAAGCTAAGCGTATGCGAGCTTTGTCGGTGACCGTAAGATCAAACGGTAAGCCTGCCCCAATCTTGAATGCAGTATATATCTTGAACCTAAAGTTGAAACTGCTGGATGTTTCAGGTCTTGCTCACGAAAATATTGGCGGTTCATCTGAAAATCATAGGATTCGTCTGTATGTTTTGTACAGTCATTATTTCGGAGACCAGAGAAGCTGTGATACAAGTGAGCTGGAGTGCTCGTGTGCCTCCTAAGTTAACATTTGCTGGTACTGCGTTCTCACGCTACTTGTATCACAGTTCTTGCTGTTGTCATGAATTTTGGCATTTGTCGCTTTCTGCTTGGAGTTTGCTGCTACAAATCCCAAGTGTTCATTTTTTCGTATTGCCTGGGATATCTTGTTGTCAGGTTGTCCTCCAGCACCTTCTCGCCCTGCACCTCCTCCTCCTCCTCCTCCTCCTGTCTTCCTCCTTGCCCGCCTCCATTTTCTACAATCTCACTTGGATCATGGCTACTTTCGTTCCCGTTGTGTGGTTCATGCTTATGCCAAACACAATTGCAAGTTGAGCTCGGAACCCACTTGAGCCAGGCCTAGCAAAAAGCCCATGAAGCTAGAGATCCACAAGCCTCAGTCACAGCTTTGCGACGGACTTTTCTTTGGCCAGCCTGAATAGCCTTTGACTATGACAGTCAAGATTTTGCGGCAAAAGTGATGTGATTTCGTCTTCAGATGATCTTGACAAGTCCTCTTCTAATCCTCGTCGCCTTAGCATCTGCAGGTGCCAATCTCTGTGCTGGAAACGGCGGCCAAGATGCCGGACCCTGTGGAGCCTGGATGACATAAGTGCTTTTGTTTTCAGCTTTCGCAGTCCGAACCTGATAAGTTGGATGATCAGGGTTACTCAGCGTGAGAGGTATGCCCGAACAATCCGCACATCAGAATTTCTTCGCTCTTGAAATCAACTGTTGTAATTAAATTCAAATAGGCTTTATGCCACCCGCAAGGCAGTAATGTCATATGTTTCAGCTGCAGAGTTGCAGCCTTTATGGGGACTGCAGCTGCAACTGGCAATGCAAGCGTGTGAACTGCGGACTGTTTTGTCGAAGTGAGTATGTCATTTGCAAAGCTATACTGCCGCGAATAGCGCAAGCTATCGTTGCTGATGAGTAGTGGTGCTAAAGCGGAAATTTTTCAACTGGAATGAGGCTACCTCTGGTGATCATTTATCCAGGGGTTAGCTGTCACTGCTTTGCATGGCATAGATAATCCTGAGCCTCTGGATCCGCACAGTCACGGTTTGCAATCCAGGCCCAAGATGTGGGGTGTTTCAGGAGTCAGCTGCTGGTTGGCAGAGCTGAGGATTGCAAGGTTACCAGCTGCCCGCATTCCGGCTCCACGCAGGTTCTGGATGACCGCTATGCCACTTGCCTTGATTGATTTTTGATTTTTGCGGGACACCTGGCTGTTGGGTTGTCTCCAGAATTCTTGGTACGCCTGCTAGAAGGCAGCCAGTACTGGTGGCTGTGTCGGTGGCGGCGGTGGTGGTTCTAGTGATAGTGGGAGTGGTACCGGAAGTGGTAGTGGGTACTGGTGCCGGCGTTGGTGGTGGTGGCGGCGGCGGGAACAGCTGGGCCAGCAGTGGTGTGGGCAGCATTGTTGTAGTAGGTGCTACTGGTATTACCACTGAGCCGCCGAAATAGCAACCATGTCGATGGAGTTTGCACTTGGAAGTGGCAGCATTTGCATGTCCGCGACCTGTCGAGGCTGTGATCGAGGCAGCTGTGGAACTTCTCTACAAGCAAAGCACGCAGCTCTTCCCCGGAAATGACGACACGGTCCCGAATCAGGTGAAGCTTGCCATCGACCCCGAGGCTAGCAAAGTAGAAGGTCCGTGAAAGCAGGCACGCCTCCAACTTGAACTATGATATCGCGCGTAGATTTCAGGGGGTGCTGGCAAGATTTGGAAGCGCTACGTGCAGACAAAGTGCTACAGTCGACATCTGTATAGTGATAATATAATATGATATAGTAGAATAGATAGTATAATATAGTAACGGTAGAGTATTATATGAAGAACATGCAGAAACGAAACTCCAGGCCGAGATCGTGTACTGGCTTGCCCCGCAGCCCAGCACGGGCTACGTGTCGCTGTGCCTTGCCTGACATCCTACAAGTATCATTCTCTGGGCTTCGCTGTTCAGGATTCTCAGATCCATGAAGCTCTTAATCCCTTCAAATCAAGCAGGACCTAAGCCTGAGCTGAAGTATTCAGTCTAATTCTTACTTCAAAGCCAAGGATGTACCTTGATGTCAAGGGCTGGACGCCGAGCCAGGGAGTTTTCGAGCCCTGTGATGTTGGAGAAGTGGCTGGGCACTATGCCCACGGTTCCTGGCTCCTTGGCCAGCAGAGCTGTGTGAAAGATATTCGCATCCGCAAGGTGTGAATTTCAGGCACAGGTGGGGTTTGAGATGGCTGATAACCACCGCCCCACAAAATGAGCAAGGTCCTCGCTCGTGGTCGCCTGCGATGGCACAGTCTTAAGCCATGAGGTCAACGCCCTGAAGCAACTGGCCCTCACCTCAATCTACCATGACACTTGCGCATGCAGCGCCAGATGGATGTGGGGCATTCCAGACACGGTTGGCCAAGGACTTCGCAAATGATACTCATGTGGCTAACTGCAAAGCGGAGGCCAGGGCTTGGCTGCAATGAAGATCCGTTTCAGGCAGCGCTGCCTTGCACAGGCTGCGCGCTGGGTAACGCTATCGCAAACTGACCCCACGAGCTGGAAGGGTTGCTGGGACCGGCACCTTGGACACCTTAACGGCTTTGCAAGAGCTTTGCGAGAGCTTTGCAAGATGGGTGTTAAGTCTTCTCGCTTCTGAACAGGTACCTGGACACTGGGACGGCATCTGCCACGGGGGCCAACGTCCTGAAGGCGAGTAAGCAATCTGCCTGCCCAACTGGGCCAACCTTCAAGTTTTCAGCCTGGCAGGCCATGGCGTACGACCCGAAGCGCGACCAGGTGTATTACGCTTTCCGGCACACAACTGTCACGGAGTCCATTTCGCGCTTCAGCCGTGCGGCTGGCCCTAAAGGCCCTGGAAACGATGAGGCCGGCTGGCTGCACTTTGCTTGACTTGTCTACTTCAAACTGTTTGGCAGGTGGTCTACTCCGGCATCTTCTACGAGTGCCATGTTGATTCAAGAGGGCTGCGAAAGTTAAGCATCAAAGCAGCTGACAATTGTACCCCAGCATCATCCAAACTCATGTCACAGGGGCCTCATCCAGAGCACTGAGTAGTCAGCCACGACACAATCCTCCTCGGAGGGCTTTGAAAATCACAAGATCTTAGCAGCGCTATTGGCAAACACGTCTTCTCATGTCAGGACAGCATGTAGCGCCTTGACCGATGTGCCTGAAAACGTCACCTAAGGCAAGAGATTGCTTCTGAATTCCTGAGGTTTCCGCCACGAAACGACAAGGGCGCTGCCTTTATCTCTGGGATGGCCCTGGACACTCTGAATGAGCTGATTTACGCGGCCAGCCTGAACACCAGCCTATGGGATTGTTATGGAAACTACTATAGTATATTGGGGTTATATAGGGGATATATGAGGATAATGGAAAAGGAAATGGAAACTACTATAGTATATTGGGGTTATATAGGGGACATATTGGGATAATGGAAAAGAAAATGGAAACTACTATAGTATATTGGGGCAAGAGTGATCTGTGCGTACGTTTGCAACACTTGCGGCCCTCTTGCCGAGCTTCTCAATGCTCGCCAGAAAAGATTCCTAGGTGGCCAACTACTACGGCAATTCGGCCAAACAAAATCTGGCAATGCTTCCGCTGCCAGAGAACAAGTTCTATCCAGGCTGAGCGTTAATCATTGTTGACATTGATCACCTTCACATGAGGATTTCCTCAGACTCAGTTTAATACGGGTCCCTACAGTCACCGGGTCCCTATACAGTTTTCCCCCGTTTTTGGAACAGTAACTTTGGCAAGCTCACATGCTCTTACTTCAACTGCTGGCACGAAGCCTGCAAAACACAATAACGCAGATGGATGACTTGCTGCTAAGCCGGATTTTGGCCGCAGGCATCAGCGTGGTAGAGGAATCAGGCGCAGTTACAGGGACGCCCCCGGGTGCTGGGGCGGTTGCTGGGAAGAGAGGTGGGAATTGGAAAATTCTGCAAAACTCCCTACCAAAGCCTTCCACTGCGGCCTCATCCTACATCTGACGCATCGGGAAACAACAAATCTTTGATGTTGACGAGATCTACCTTTTTAAAGCAAGTTCCAAAATACCAATCGGCAAGCTGCGCTTAGCAGGCAGCTGTTTACGAACCACCGGGTCTTAGATTCCAAAGCCCCAGGCCCGGCCTCAACGGGGCTTGATCTTTTGATCTTGCACACCCTCTTATCGCGAGGAGACAACAAGGTTGAGCATGCCAAGTACTGGCCAATGGACCTAGTCTCTGACGGCGACGCTCCCATTGCCTGCCTGTAGCCTGGCAGTCAGGGGACTTGAGGCAGCTGCTCACTTGCTATGATGTTTGTACCAGTGGCCGGCTTCTCCAGCACAGGTACGGACATCAATCAATTCCACACTCTTCTGGATATGGTAACCGCAAGTGATTCTTGGATTGCACTGAGCATGGTGGCCTCGAGGGTTTCCTTGCAGCTTTGGGTCCAAGTTCTCCTGGCCAAGCTTGACTTGTAGTTGATGTTCTTCCTGCTATGGTCAGTGAGGTTTGTAGGCACACGTCATCCCGAGAGATAGCTGGCTGCACTAGCTGTGCTAGCTGCGAGGTGAATACCAGGGTGAGCGCATGCAGCAGAAGATGCGGCATACCATGATGGACATCATCCTCCCAGACCCCGAGGGCATCTCCAGGCAAAGCTCAAAGAGATGCAAGCGCATCAAGCGCATGAGTGTTTGGCTCTCTTCTGTGCAGGTTTTACATCACTGACACATCCAACAATTTGGCGGTGCTGCCTCCCAAGCCTTCTCTGCTATCACGCAATGCGCCGTTTGATTGGGTTCAGTACTTCGACATGCTGCCCCACGCGAAGATCAGCTTAAGCAAGTTGAATGGCTGGAACATTCTGAGTACTCCGGCCACTGAGCTGCAGAAACCCAAGCGAGTTTTGTCGTGCAGGACCGACGAACAGTTTCACCAATCGACCGACCGAGGTAACTGCAACCGACCTGGGCTATCAGCCGAGCTATGACCTTTGCGCTGAGCTTTGCGCCACCTTCTGGCGGAAGGGCAAGCAGCGCTGCGTGGCCTTCGACTGGCGAATGTCCAATCACGACTGCGAGTACCTCAAGGACGTAGAAGAAAGAAACGCCCTCATGCTCTTTGTCTGGAGCGTGTTGCTCTGGCAGGACAAGGGGTTGCTGCCGCAGCACACCAAGACCTGCGGCTACTCGAACAGCGGTCCCTTGAACTTGGAGAAAGAGCCATGCTACAGGTTATAATCATGATAATACTAGAAGCAACCATCGTAGTAATAATAACAATCACAGTCATAATGACAACAAAAACAGCAACAATAACAACAGTAGTAATAATACGGATGGTGATTATCAATGCTTCATCTTCTTCCCGCAAGGCTTGTCCTGTGTGTTCGCCTTGGTGGATCAGACGGATCCTACTGCGGACGACTTCACGATGTGGCCCCACCCTTGCTTCACTATGCCTACAGCTGATAGGGATGGCAACCCATGGATCATTGGTGAAAGTGGGTATGCTCCTACTGGTGGCTGGCCCAGCTACGTGCAGCTTGCTTGCATCTGATACCTCGCAAAAAACATGTCCTTGCTTTCCTTCCTTTGTTCTGCTTGATGCTGACAAGTGAGGAGAGAGGGCTACAGCATGGACAGGGAACGTACCCTGGCCTTCTTCTTGAAGCCCCAGCTTTTGGAGAGCACGACCGCTGCCCAAGCCATGCGGGATACATGGCGCACTGCTGTTCCAAATGGGCGCCGCTTGTCTTGTGTTCGATTAAGCTTCCTTCTTGCGCGATTACGTTCAGGTCTATTCACGTCTTTCATCCACATCACGTATACAGAGATTCGAATTCCACTGTCAACTCCATTCAATCTTGGCCGTAGCCCAGGCTGGTATGGGAGCACTGACGACATGAATTACACAGTTGGCGACCATGCACGGAACGGTAATGCCATCTTTCCCGGCGACCTGCAGTATGAGATCTTCAAAAACTCGGTCGGTGGCGTGGACCCAGACACAACTAATCCCAAAGCTATGCCTACAACCCCAGCCTCCTGCTTCAGCAGTGACCAGACTGTCACTACCACATCCGGTAGCGGTGGGGATCCAAACCCTAGCCAAGACAGCCCGGGGGGAGGATCAGCAACAAGCACCACCACCCCCAGTGGCATCGATACCACCAACACGAGCAGCCCAGTTCTTGGCGGAACTGCGGACAAGACCATTGGCCTCGGAGCACCTATGCTGCTCCTCTTGGTTCTCATGACAAATGCCTAAAACAGCTCTGAATGGGCCACCTGCATCTGCTAGGATGAGACTTATCTCCGCAGATTCAGCTCTTGTGACTTCGGAGACAATATTCCGTTGTTCGCATGCCAGCGGCTATTTTGAATGTATCCCAGGCATGAGCAACCTGTAGGATTGACCAGGGCACAGCCCTAGACTATTGATCTGATCTTCCTCTAGGGAAGCATTGTGTCAGTTCGAATTCTACCTTGCACCACGATGCCGCTACTGAAGGGCTGAGGGTCAAAGGATGTCAAAGGCCTCTGAGAAGGGATCTCTTATTGGCCAGGGCCTGATGTTTTCAGTTCGGGGTGGATCTTCTTGCTCGCTCGAGCTGCTGCAGAACGGTCGCGGCAAGTGAATTCAAAGTGGGCCATGGCACATACACGTGCTTGCTGCCCCTTCGGTGCATCAACGCTCACGTTCCAACCCCGACCAAAGCGTAGCTGTGGTGTGTCTTGAGGTGCTTATCAACTTGTGCTTTGGCATTGCCATGCTCGACGCATAGTGCCCCAGGTCCACCTGGCCGGGAATCTCAAGATCTTTGGTCCGTCCCCAAAGGCCTGCAAGGGGGAAGTCCTAAACCTTCGGAATTCTCCCTCCAGGTTTCTCTCCCATGTGCGACTGGATGGTGTGTTTGCGAGTGTACGAGGGGACAGAGCACTCGAGTCACAGAGATGGTATCCTTCCCAAGCAAACATGACCAAATCGGTCCTACAAGGATGGTGTCTGGCCGGGAATTCTTAGTCTCTCCATGTCTACAGCAGCCGACGGGAAGCAGGGAAACCTGAAAACGGTGATGCAAAACTTGAAGCTCGAACTTGGCCTGGAGGTGCAGACAGCGGAGCCGGCAGTTCCTGCGACGGATCCCGTGATTCGCCTGTCAGGCCACTTGCAAAAAGGAAACGCCTAGTTTCCAGCAATAAATAGTTTCGCACATGCGCTTGCACACAGTCTGGTTGCCTTTCACGAATTGAACAGTTTTTTTTGCAGTTGGGGCTGGTGCTGGCCGGTGATTTGCACAGGCAGTGCAGAGCTCCAATTTTTTTTCAAAAGCAAGATCAGCTTGACTGTGCATCCAAAGCAGCATTCTCGCAGGATGGGGTTTCCTCAATGCCTCCATTGTCGCTGTCGTTGCGAAGCCGTGGTTGAGCATCGAAGACGAATTGCAGCGCGAGTGCAGGCATCGCTGCTGAGCACTCCTCTCACACAAAAGACAACGAGTAACGTAGACAGATGGGTCGCTTGAAGCCAAGCATTCACGGCGTGTTGTTTCCCAATGAGGCTTTGCAGCGCAGAGTCCCAGTCGGCCTTGTGCCTGCCACAGTTGCTATCCCCTTCAGCTGCATCAGGGACTAGCTGCAGTTGCTGCATGCTACGGTGGCAGTGCTCATCTCGGGCGTCATAAGGTTGTGTCCATACACAGCTGCTGGGATGCCTCCAGAGGTCCACGTCAACGCCCCGCTCCCAGTGCTCCTTGTTCTCCAAGCCTTGAATGTCAGAATTGTTGGGTTGCCTTTCTACTGAATTTTGCAGGTCACCCTCTACCTTGCCATGCGCTGAGCTGGAAGGGAAGGCTGTGTCTGGGCTTCGTGTGGACATCATCTGATAGCATTGAGGTGGATGCTGCCCGGATGGATCCCACGTCTGGCTGCCAGGACAGGCATTGTAAAGCAGAAAGTCACGGAGCCCTGGTCTAACTCCAGTCCACACGCAGCATGACACCTCCAAGCACTAATCGGCCTCCAAACGATCAAATAAGTTGCACGCTGTGCACAACTTGAAAGAGAGAGCAGGCTTGAAACCCTGCTCAAAGCAGTTCTTAGTCTAGGAGCAAGAAATATGCCTGCAACAATCCGAGCGCTATAGCCTCTAGCTATTCCAGCCCTTCATTATTGCCGGCTTCCAACCCTCTGGAAGCAGTTTCTCCGCGTAGAGTCCTTTGACTTCAGGACGGCGCACAAGTTGGCCTCGAGAACTTGACTATCTTTCGCCAGGCTGTGCGCGGCCTACGTGGGCAGGATTTTGGGGTTCCGCACAGTTTCGCTTCTGGTGGATTCTCGGACTGGGGCAGGAACCTTGACAACTGAGAGATGTTCCTCCCAGCTGAGGTTGGGCCGTTTGCTGTTCACCCCGGGTCCGCAGTGCCGGAGTCGATGATGGTCCGCTTCTCCGTGTACAGCAGCTACTTCAGCCCATATGCTGTGCAAACCTCAGGCAAAAGCTAACAGTTCGGGCATCTTCAATATGTAGAAGTGCTGACGTCGCGAAACCTGCGGACCGGGTCCGTTCCGAGGCTCACTACTGCCGCTTCCGCATCACGGCTGCAGACTCTGGCGGGTCTCCCGAGCAGCTGACCACTTCGATGGCCACGTCCTTGTGTAAAGCTCGAAGCAAGGGACGTCTGGGTATTTGAGAGTCAAATTCGCTGTTGATGTCACCCAGCCTTAGTGTGCAGCTATGCCAGCCCTGCTGTGATTTTATGTCGCGAGGTTCAAGCGGCCAGGGTGAACTCGACCATGCTGCTGTGCCCCCTGCCTTGGTTGATGATGGTTTGAATAGCTCAGTGAAGGCGGGTGCAGATTCAAGTCTTCAGTCAGCAAGAAGCTAAGCGATGCTATCTTCGGCAACTGGAAAAAGCTCGGCTGCAGCCCACAGATTAGCACGAAAGCTAGAATCTCTTCCGAGCCAAGATACATCTGACATGAAGGTCTCTTTCCCCTGAATCTTTTCCAAGACCTTGAATCATCAGCAAGTCTCAGACCCTGGCCCAGCCTGCCAACAACCCAGGCAGCCTTGAGACGCCGTGGGCTCTGATCAGAGAGCTCTCTGGCTTTGGCAATAGGTCTGCTTGGAAGTACTGGCTATCAGTGGCCCACTGCAAAACTGTCCAATCCACCATGTTGCTGTCGACAACTTGATCAAGCTGCATGTGCACGTTGTAACTATCACTCATGTCCATGTTGTGTGCAAGGGGTGTTTCCTTAGGCCAAAGCTTCCTGTTCCGATGGCTTCTGGGCCTGAGCCTCGGACATTGTGAGCAGGATTTGCACTTATGCTTCTTCTGGCTCTTGTTGCAGGCACCAAAGCTTTTCGAATCCGTGTCTGAGAGGGTTCTGATGATTTCTGATGTCAACAGCCGACCATGTTGTCAGATGTCAGAGAGCGAGGGTGGGCCGTCAGTGTTGGCCGAGGCATTCAGTCGGCAAGGGGGCCACGCCCTCGAGATCTTGTTTCAACTCATTTTTGTGTAGCCAAACTGTTGTTATTGTTTGCTTGAACCCATCATGCAACGTTCAAACCGCTTGTCAGAAGGGCATGTCAATGTACAAGCTCTATGTACAATCAAGTCTCATCGCTGCTCCACTTCTCACTTTGCTTATGGGACTAACAATCCTTGGATCTGTAACTATCCGAGCCTAACAGGCCTTTGTAATGGATGCAAAATGATGCAGAGATTTCAGCTGCAAGTCAGCGTCTGCTGGCAAGCAGTAGCCTCCATTTCTTCACCCGTAGAAGCTGCAAAGCACTAGATGAGCAGGAATTGCAGGGCAGGAGCAACTGTGTTGATGATGCTTGACAGAGACTTTAACTTCTCTAGGCCATTACCATCTCTTATCACAGGAGGTGCGCCATACAGGCAGAGTGGTTTGATTGGAGACAGTTGTTTTCCACCCAGGAGCTGCTCCTGTGCATGGCATCCTGCACTGAAGAAGACCGCCTTCAAGGCAGCTGGCCTCCTTATGTTCTCGGGTTTGTTATGGTTTGCCATTGCCTTCAGCTGTAAGCTTGGGCGAAGCGATCTGATGCGGGCATATCTGTGCCAGGATTGCAGGAGACTAATACTGCCGTTCGCACCTTTGACGTCTTCGTTCCTCCCTTAGCACGGCCAGCAGGAAGATTCGTTGAATTATCGCTGGAGATCTACAAAATGGATTGATTTGGCCGGCCTTGGTACTGAGCCTGACAAGAGGAATTGCTAGCTTCCTTTCGAATTCCCCGTGTGCTTGAAATCTGTAGTTTAGTTCCTTGTTGAGTCTACCTGCACAGAGGCCAACTCAGCAGTTCTAGGGTCGTACATCTGGCTTAAGTCAGGCAAGCATAGCCTGCTTGGTACTCATTCGGTGTATCAGTCCCATTTAGGTGTAGTGTCTTGCTATGCAATATGCAGCAGTGATGGCTATCTACTCTCGTTCGCCCATGACTTCCACATGTGCTCTGTGCTGAAAATGAAGCAGGATCCCGTGGCACCTCCGAATGCCGTCCATGAAGCATTTGAGAGTCCAGGTGAATGTGTTCATATTTCAACTGATTGGATACCTCAAGCTGTATTTACCACGTTCTTCGTCTCCCTGGCATTGGTATACCCAATTCAAGCCGAGCATTTTCCGAGCTTAGGCTCAACCAACGCTGGACCTGGCCACGTCCAGGTTGACTTATGTGAGAGGTGTAGCTGATGAGCAGGCAGGAGGCTGAACCTCTCAAGTCTGCACCAAAAACCTTGCTTCATGTAGTAGCTTCCATTTTCCCCATAGCATATAACCCCTACATATTCCGATGTACGCCTCTTATTGGTATTACTTATACAATGTGAGGGGTTTAACCCTTTGGGTGTCTTTGCCGTAAGGTGAGTGCACAGGATGCTTCATGTTGATGCCCAGCCAGGCCTTGCTGCTGACCTTCCAGAGCTGGAATCAGCTACCGGTGTCTCTAACGCAACAGCCTCAGGTGAGGCCGAGTCATGCCTCTATGCTGGAATTCTGTTATTCGGAGATGCAGAAGAAGTCCTGGAGCCGAAGTCTAGTCACGCAGCAAGGATGACCATGGGATATCCCACCTGCAAGTCGTCATGATCGTTACGAATGTTGTGATGTCTTCAGTAGCTCGGGTGAGGCCTTGCATGATCTTGGCTGGTCTAGCCTCCCCGCTGCTGTGCGAGCCAGACCGGGACTGGGGCTTTTTCACGGTGGGGATGCTTGCATGGTGGACCA